TGAAATCCTTGACAGTTAGTTCGCGTTTTGCAAGTTTGTTCATGAGTTGCTGAAGAATGTAAAAAGTTTAACACGACTTCTTACACATGACGTAACAGATTTAACTTAATGAAGAAAATATGGATGAGTGTAAACGGAAAAGCACTTGTTGCGAATCATCTTGTGTACTGTGAATGGTGAATTAAGGAATCAATGGAGAATAAAGTGAAAGGAATGAAAACGATAATGATGAAATGGCACTAATGAGATTTATTTTTAAAGTGGATTGTTCAGAGGATTAGAACGACGTACCCTCAAAAGCTGAATAAATATCTATCACTGGAAAATATAAATAAAAAGAGAAAGAGACATTCACGAGACAAGTTTACTTTAGCAAAATTATTCAAAAAGAGAACCAAGATGTGTTACAGGCCTACCGTTCTGAGAGACTTTGTGGCTTTTGCTTCAAGTGACTTTTCCCGACTTAAACAAGTTTATTGCCACAAATGGTTACACATCAAGAGAATAAAGTAACAAAAGATATTTCCCCCCCTGTCTTAGTAAGTCCTCACATGACCTTCCTCATCATACGTAAAGAATAGAATGTTAACGGATTAGACTACGTACAGGATTTAAGGTATTTAAAAACAGGTACACAATGTCAATTATTTTCCTTTCTGGAGAGTGATATAACACGATAGAATTTCATCCACTCTTTGCAAGTCTCCTTCCTTACAAGATGCATACATATAAGATTGCAATAGGTAATTAATGCTCTTGAAGTAGAGAACATCATCATGTCAATTGAAATGCTTGCATCTCAGAAGAAAGACGTGTTATATATGATCGCCAACCTATTATAACCTAAGTACTATTAACAGCCTATATACCGGTACACACTCACCAGGTACAGTTATCGTATTGGTAAATAATAACAATAATAATAGTAATAATAATGAATTAATGAATAAATAAAGCACTTTTAAATTTCAAATACCATGCCAGTCCTGATCCATACGGCCTGTTCTCTCTACATTTACATATGCCTGAAGCAAAGGACACCATTATGTATAGTGCACTAGGGTGTTTAATCGTATTAAATTGCATATAAACTAGATCTTATGTTTCTTAAAACACCTGAAAATACGCTTCGTTCTTCATTTGCATAAGTTGTATAAGGTTGAAATAAAGTATGTATTAAATGCTGCAACATTATTCTTAATTTCCACTTCGTTGCGCTTAAATAATTGTCCTAATGTCGGTTATTCTTATGTGTACATACTCTGTGTGTGTGTGTGTGTGTGTGGTATGTCTGTGTGCGTGTGTGTGTGGTTATGTCTTTGTGTGTGTGTGTGTGTGGTTATGTCTTTGTGTGTGTGTGTGTGTGGTTATGTCTGTGTGTGTGGTTAATGTGTGTGGTTATGTCTTGTGTGTGTGTGGTTATGTCCTTGTGTGTGTGGTTATGTGTGTGGTGTTATGTCTTTGTGTGTGTGTGTGTGGTTATAAATGTGTGTGTGTGTGTTATGTGTGTGTGTGTGGTTATGTCAATGTCTTTGTGTGTGTGTGTGTGGTGTGTGTGTGTGTTAATGTGTGTGTGTGTGTGTGTGTGTGTGTGGTTATGTCTGTGTGTTATGTCTTTGTGTGTGTGTGTGGTTATGTGTGTGTGTGTGTGTGTGTTATGTGTGTGTGTGAGGTTATGTCTTGTGTGTGTGTGTGTGTGGTTGTCTGTGTGTGTGTTATGTGTGTGTGTGGTTATGTGTGTGTGTGTGTGTGGTTATGTCTTTGTGTGTGTGTGTGGTTATGTCTTTGTGTGTGTGTGTGTGGTTATGTCTTTGTGTGTATGTGTGTGTGTGGTTATGTCTTTGTGTATGTGTGTGTGGTTATGTCTTTGTGTGTGTGTGTGTGTGGTTAATGTGTGTGTTATGTCTTGTGTGTGTGTGTGTGGTTATGTCTTTGTGTATGTGTGTGTGGTTATGTCTTTGTGTGTGTGTGTGGTTATGTCTTTGTGTGTGTGTGTGTGTGTTTTATGTGTGTGTGTGTGTGTGTGTGTGTGGTTATGTCTTATGTCTGTGTGTGTGTGTGTGTATGTGTGTGTGGTTATGTGTGTGTGTATGTGTGTGTGGTTATGTCTGTGTGTGTGTGTGTGGTTATGTCTTTGTGTATGTGTGTGTGGTTATGTCTTTGTGTGTGTGTGTGTGTGTTATGTCTTGTGTGTGTGTGTGTGTCTTTGTGTGTGTGTGTGTGGTTATGGTGTTGTGTGTGTGTGTGGTTATGTGTGTGTGTGGTGTGTGTGGTTATGTCTTTGTGTATGTGTGTGTGGTTATATGTGTGTGTGTGTGTGTGGTTATGTCTTTGTGTGTATGTGTGGTGGTATGTCTGTGTTGTGTGTGTGTGTGTGTGTTATGTGGTTATCTTTGTGTGTGTGTGTGGTTATGTGTGTGTGGTGTGTGTGTGTGTGTGTGGTTATATCTTTGTGTATATGTGTGTGTGTGTAGTGTGGTGTGTGGTTATGTCTGTGGTGTGTGTGTGTGTGTGTGGTTATGTCTGTGTGTGTGTGTGTGTGTGTGTGTGATGCAAAACTGGAGGATCCTTTTGAAAATAGCGTGATCTGCATATTCATTGCTGCTTTAAGCTGACACGTGAATTTATTTTTCAGAGTAATGGAAAGAGACTCATGCTGTTTTTGGCAATAATAAAGCTGTCGATGATGATAGAATAAAGTATAATTACTGTTGTTATAGTGATAATAGTAATGCTGATTGTGATAATAATAATGATGATGATGATAATATTAACAATAACAACCATGGTAATGAAATGATTAATAATATAATAATGAATAACATTAATGATGATGATTGCAATAATGGTGATAGTAATATTGATGATATTCAGTATTATTGTTATTGTTATTATTATCATTATTTTATTTTTGTTATTATCATTTTTTTTTTCATAACAATAATGATCACAATAATGGTAACAGTAATGAAAATAATGATGATAATAATGATAATGAAAATATCAATGATAACGTTGATAAGGATAGTTGCCATGATAATGATATTATTACTAACAAAAACAATGACAAAATAAATAATGATAAATGAATGATAAAAATACTAATAAGGATAATGATAGCAATTGCAATAAGTAGAACAGTAAAAACAGCAATGAGTAAATAATAAGAATAACAGTAATAGTAATAATCACATTGATTAACAATGATGATAATGATAAAAGTGATGATTGATCCTACGACAGCAAAAGTAATTATAGTGGCAATTATAATGATAGCAATAGTGATAATGATAATGAAAAAAGTACCAGAGACGATAATATGAATCATCATGAATATTAACCTTTCTTGTTGCTGAGCGAGTTACTATATTCTTCACAGGCAGATTAATACTCATTCTGCTTCACTCGCCAACAGAACTTTAAGATGTTCTTCGGCAATTCAGCAAAAGGGAATTATTTTATTGACATTCTTGTATTCTTGTAGCGTGGTTAGAACTGTGGCTGAGTTTGCTTGAAAATTGTAGTAGCTGGGTTATTATTTATGTAAAGTCCCGGAGTGAAAGAAAATGAGAATGGGGGGTTTAATTCAAGTAAAATTGTGTGATATCAAGTCATATTGATGAACTATCTGTGCATGTATAATAATTATAATAATAATAATACCAATAGATAGATAAATAGATCAATAAAAAAGTAAAAAAGAGATAAAATATACATACATATAATATCTATACATATATAGATGTGAGTTCAGTCTCGATATATAGAGCAAATAAATACACATGATCTACTTATACGTTTTAGAAGAACTCACAAGAAGGGAAACAACAATAAAAAGAAGAAAAAAAAAACATTACCAACGAGGCTTAAACGATAGCTTTTAATCCGAACTCCATTGCATCCGGACTCCCAACATCCTGGCACTGTCCATTACTAAACAGTCTGCCTGAGAGAAGCGGGATTAAGCCTGTGACTCCAGATTGGCACCTGCATAGCGACGCAGTGGCCCTGTTACAACTGCATCGAGATTGGCATTAATTGTAACAGTAGCGGCGGTGTGATTGTTCTGCTTGTATCGTTACCTTGATGTCGATGGATGAAAATAGAGCGACTTATTTTCATACACCAATAGGGTCAGCAGTACAATGGCATATATACGTTGACTCATAACAATTTAATTTATTTCAAAATTACCACTTATTTTCATACATCGATAGGGTCAGCAGTACAATGGCATATATACGTTGACTCATGCCAACGTAATTTATTTCAAAATCACCACGGTGATTTGCATGCGTATACCTATTATTGTTAGGGTATTCCTGCATAATGCCTGAATGCAGGGCAACGTCCACTGGCAATTACAGCTAATGAGGAAAAATTAAAAAGGTTAACCTATGCAATTTGCATACATCAAAAAGTTTGAACTAATCTCCCAAACCGGAGATTCTTTATTCCACAAAATGCCTGGGGTTTTGGTCCTGCACATCTAAGCAGAGGACATAACGTGATATTCGTTTCCTAAAGATTAGTCTGTGCTTTTCGTGGCTTCAAAAATGTTGTGCAGAACATTCAGAAATACTTGATGCAGATAGGACATTCATGTTTTTTTCTATGTGATTTGACAAAAAAAAATCCTATATTGCGAAAACTAAATGTTTATGATTTAATGTATCAACTAATAATCATGTTATGAATCAGCGGCAAAATATATTTGCATATATACATAAACACACGCACGCACACATACACACACACACACACACACACACACACACACACACACACACACACACACACACACACACACACACACAATATATATATATATATATATATATATATATATATATATATATATATATATATATATATGCATATATATAGAAACATATTTGTTTGTGTGTGTGTGGTTTTGTCCATGTATATATGTACAAATATATATATGCATGTATGTACGTATTTAATCATGCATATCTATGCGTGCATGTGTATCAGACATTGGCTTTGGCTTCGGTGACAAGCTTGACTTTGCTTTGGCATCTTGAGCGTCTGAACAAGTGGCAGGTCAATTTATCAGTTGGATTCAATAATTCTTTATTTTGCAACTCCCTTAGACTCACAGACGTCGATCTTCCAACAGGATAAGTATAAAGATTGCAAATGTGACTTTATATGATTGGACACCTTGTAAGAAACGTGAAAATCTGTCTATTCATCTTTCTTTCTATTTATCATTCTATCTGTTCACCCATTAACGTAAAAATCTATCTATCTGTCTATTCATCTTCTATCTATCAATCTATCTAT